GTAGCTGAAACTGCAAATACCATTCTCAGGTTCTGCAAGATCTTTGGCTTTCGTTTCCAACTCGCTTCTCAGTGAAGCAACGCTCAGGTGGTGCACCAGCCTTCCCCACAAATGGAGTTAAATGCAAGCTTTGCCTCAAGAAACTTTAGGCAGAGCCTCCGAGTCTGCATTTCTAACCAGCTCCCAAAGGATGCCAATGCTGCTGGTCTGGGAACTGAACTTTGAATAATAAGATCCTAGAACACACAGTGAGTGTGGTTGCACACTCATTTGGTCAGAGTTCAGACTGTCTGCCACGGGATCTGTTATGAGACCCTGCAACCTTGGACCACTGTTTCAAGCTACAGTGTATTGAGTACCCCTCTAGCTCTGGCTCCACACCAGACATTTTCAATCTCATTAGTTCCAGGCAGGGCAGTCATAGAAGCTGAGAACAGAAGTCCTCCAGGCTGAGACGGTGGTCTAGCAAGAGACCACGAGAGGCTGGGTAGTTTGCATCTCCTTTGAGCGGTTACTGTATTGTGATCTGCCAATGGCTACCCTATTTTTGCTTCTCACAGTAGGTTTTGAAGTGGCATCTCACTACGAACACACAGAGCAGGCGTTACAATGCCTCCCTTTGAATACATTCTGGCTTGTTTGGTTTTTGGAGCTGAAACACAGCCAATTGAATCTATCATGCAATTCAAAGAAAACAAAACTTTTTCCAGTCTTTTCAAGCTCTGGACTTGCGTGTTTTGAATATTTCAATTAGGAAGAGAGAAGAAAGATGAGAAGTCATTGAATATTTATTTTCTGATACTAGAGGAGCCCTCTGGAATTTAAGAACCTCACTCAGGAAGTTTGGCATTTGCTGACTGTGGGCCTGATCTTCACACGAGACCAGTTATGAACACACAAGGAATGGCAGATGCAGCTGCGTAGAGAAGCGTGCTTACTGACAATTTCATGCCTACCCACATGTGTAATTTTTATCCACCTTTTAATTAATTAATTAATTAATTTTTGGAGAGGTTTTTGCTATAAGGGGTGTGCACGCTCGCCAGAAAGACAGAGAGACAGAATGCGAGGACCCCCCCACACCCCACCCCAGGGTGATGGCCACACTGCAATCCCTTCTCCTCCATTCTCCTCATGGGATCTTGGGCACGCATGCACATGCGCCCGGTGTGAATTCAAGCCACCAGGTCCAGGACTTGAACTGTAGTCAACTGCATGGGAGTCCAGCAACAGCCATTACGCCAACTGCTGGTCCTGAACCACCTTTTTAAAACTAGATGGACCTTTTAGGAAAGCACTAACATGTCCTAATAGATATTTCACTCAGTCTACTATAGTTTGTTCTGTTACAACCAAGCATAGTATACTTTTCCCTTCCTCATCTCTGCCTGCCCAGCAATCCGCAAGAAAAACCTTCAACTCCTCACGTGGCTCATATTTTCTATGCTAAGAATCTTGTAGAGGGTTAAACCTCAACCCCAGAAGTTGACAGAGCCCTGTTTCCTTTACTGGATTCTTATACCAGTCCCCAGACCCTCAGAATAGTACCAGGTTTGCTTCTACCTCAGGACCTTTGCACTTGTTCCTACAGTCTGGAACTCTCTTTCCATGCATTTTTACACGGCCATCCTGTGTTCTCGTCATTTGAGTCTCAGCTAAAAGGTTCCCTCGGCAATAGGTTTTTCTCAACCATTTGATCTCACATGGATGACCACACACACACACACACACACGCGCACACACATGCACACTTTCTCAATCGTATGCCAGCCCCATGCTAGCTCTCTGCATGATGAAAATCTTCTACGTCTGCATTGTCCAGTACAGCTGCCTCTAACCACTCATGCTGTCAAGCACTTGGAGGGTGCCTAGTTTAACTGAAGAACTAAAATAAAAATTTTAATGGATTTAAATTCAAGTTGTCACATGTGGCTAGTTGCTATAGTATTGGATAGTGAAGCTATTTATATACAAACCTTTTCCAAACCCTTTCCGGCTCTTATCTCCAACTGCAACTATCGTGTGAGTCTATTTTCCTCTTGTTTATCATCTGTCTCTCCGTGCTGGAGTGTGTTTTCTTCATGCCAACTACCTCAGTTCGTAGGCTACAATAGTTGTTGTGTAGTAGGTCCTCCATGGATTTTTATTAAATTAACCTTAAGATAAGGAAATATCACTGACCAATGCTTGGTTGTACTCAGAGACCATTTCAAAGATCTTGGCTCTTGTTGATGTGGCTGTATGTGAAAAAAGTCTGAAAAATCAAACTCTAGAGAGGTTAATCATGTAAAATACCACCAGGCTGTCTACTTGCATAATAGGTCGTCTGCTATTTGGCTCAGCTTTTTTTAACCCATCCTGACCAATTGCTTCTCCACAGTGTCTGTCTGTTTTCCATCATCCACCTCTCCTAGGTTCAACGTGTGAGTTTACTTGGCAAAGATGAATTCTGAGTCTCTGTCCTTCCTGCGGCTGATGATACTGGCCAAACCTCACAGAATGTGGAATCTTAGGATATTTATTATCCTTTGGCACAAGTTTTTTGGTTGCGTTAAAGTCAAGTCCTTGGCTATTTTGGGAAGATATAAAACCAGACCTTTGTTATTACATCAAATTGCCCTAAAAGCTTTGCTTTGATTGATTGATTTCCTTTGTTAGTAGTATTCTCATAATAGCTTTAAAAAAAGAATAAAGTTACGAATGTTCCCTCTCTCCTTTATGTGCTGAAGTTAGGAGGCTCTGTTTATTTACATTTTTTTTTCTTTTTTAAAAGTCCATTCATTTATTTCTTCTGAGAGAAAGACATCCCAAGCAGGGTCCCATGCTGGAATCTGCCCCCAGCCTCCCCAGCCTTGACCACAGGTGTGCCTATATTTGTGAATTTGCTAGTGAAAAGATGAACTAATGTAAAAGAAAAATTGAAAAAAATTCCCCTACCAATGCATACCTGGTTTCATTTTGCCACCACCTTCAAATTATGTCCAGGTTTGTATGTTACGTGTGAATGATGCATGTGTTATTTCATGTTTCACTTGATACTCTAAATAGATCAACAAGGGTAGATAATTATATTCACTAATAGCTGTCTTCTAACACATTGTTACACAAACATTATTCCAGTTTCTCTTCCCAGTCATTCGGGTGGATACTGGTGTAATTTTGTTATTAGAAAGAAATAACAAAGCATTTACCACTGTAAATTTTTTTTTGAGAGGTTTTCACTATAGGCCATGTGCGCTCACCAGACAGACAGAGAGAGACATAGAGACAGAAAGCGAGAAATCACCCCCCAGGGGGAATGGTCACGCTGCAATCCCTTCTCCTCCATTCTCCTCTCGAGATCTTGGGCACACACGCACACGCGCCCAGCATGAGTTCTAAGCCACTGGGTCCGGGATGCGAACCGCGGTCCACTACGTGGGAATCCGGCGACATAGCCATTACGCTAACTGCTGGTTCCTGACCACTGCAAATATTTTCTTATATGACGTGCAACCTGTGTAGGACCAGGCATTGAAGTGGAATAAAATATATGAGGAAGTCTTTAAAATTTCATGAAAACACGGCCCTGGGTTTAAATTTTTTTTCACACCAAAATAAATTCATTCTTCAATTGCATCTTTCTATAAGCTTTTTGAAGCTCTCTTGTAGAGTCTTTCATGGTTGTGCTGAATCCAGCCTCGCCACTTTCCAAGTGGATGACACCAGTCTGCAGTACCGTCAGGTGGGGTATGACTGTGCCAGTTTGTCACAGGAGTATTTCTCTTCCATCTTCCTAATCGGGTAGTTTGGGTAATAGTATTAATAACAATAACAAGAGCAACAATAGCAGCAGCTAATGCGTTTAAGCTATATGACAGGCTCTATATTGAGTACTTGAGAAATATTTTCCATAGTGGTAAAAATGTGAATGATGGGGTTAGACTTCCCAGGATCAAATCCAGATTCCACTATTTATCCGTATTTGCTTCCATTCCCACCTCTGCAAAATGGTTCATGTGGTTATTTGTGGGGATCAAGTGAGCTCATATAGTGTAGAGCATAAGGAAACACCAAGTAAGTCTTGGTTTTTATGATTCCTGAAAATGGCTCTTTTCATGAACCCATTTTATCGATGAGGGAACCGAGAGATTAAGCGTCCGTCCTGTGCAGTGTTACAGAGAGAGCGGAGAATGTGCTGGGATTCTGACTGCAGCTACCCTCTCTGGCCAAAATACTCTACCACCTCCGGTGTGAGGACCTCCGCTTACATCCAGGAGGTGGTGTTGTTATCGATGAGTTAAATCAAGGCTGAATTAAGCCCAGAAAATGAGAACATAAGGTCACCCTGACTCACTCGAAATGTCAAGGCGTAATTCCTGTTTCCAAGACAAACAATAAAGCTCGTTTTTTATGCTGCTTTCTTCATTGAGATCTGAAAGTAGTTCTGTATGGAAGCATTTGGTGGAAATGAGAAATCCTCCTCTATTACAAGCGGCCTGGTGGGCAGGAATACAAGGTCCCGTTCTTGCCCCCTTCAAATGCCAACTCCCTTGCCTAAAGAAGGCTTTCCACGAATATTCACCGACCTGAATTTCTTCTACACATTACCATAAACATTTTCAGTTATGTCTTAATATACTCAGTTCATAACTGTTCAGTCAATTATTTTTATTAGCATAACATTCCTTTTAAGCATAATGATGTTGGAAAAACAAAAACAACGTAAGCACATTTTCTCAGCTATGGCTGATTGCGACTTTTTTAAAAACTATCTCTGCAGATTTGATGAATTAATCGTAAATTTCCCAAGGGAGATCTAATGTGAACTGATCTTTGCCTTTTATTCTGGAATGTTTAGTTTCTATTCTAGTCCCAGTGACTATCCATTGAGACCAACGTTTGAATAGTGCCAAGGGCTCATAAAATTGCTGATCTAACCTACTTTCTCCAGAGAACTTGATTTCAATTTTCATAATGAATTAATGCCTTTTCCTCCCCCAATCTCTTTGCTCACGTAGCTATTCGTGGAGACCATTGATGTCAATGGCAGAACTCTGGAGGGACCGGTGCCTCTGGAAGTCATTGTGATCGACCAGAATGACAACAGGCCGATCTTTCGGGAAGGCCCTTACATCGGCCACGTCATGGAAGGCTCACCAACAGGTATGTTAAGTTGGCTTGCTGGTAGCATAGTGGCTCACAAAGTGGCTCCCATGGGGACCTTTGCTTTATTGCTGGACAGTGTGTTGGCATGCGTCTGCATTGACAGGCCATTTCCGGGTACAGAGTAAGAGCTGCGAAGCTGAGGGGTGGAGCGTGACTGGGGTGTTATATCTGCTGTTGTCTCTGAAGGTGGTCCTCCAAGAGCAATTGCCATCTGAGTCTCTCCCACCTGGCTGATGCTGGACACCACGTAAATATCTAGCTCCCCCTTGCGACGTCCGTGGCTGAACCTGGCTGAACTTGGTGCTAGCATGGGACCTTGATTGGCCCCCAGTATGAACTCCTCAGTTATGTCATTTAATACTTGTCCTTTAATAAGAACTATCTTGGTAAAATGGGTAGGACTTTTTTCCCTTCCTTTAGAAGATGTGCATAAAGGAATCTTTTCTCTTTAGTCAAAGGGCTAAAGGCAAGACATTTCTCTCTCTGGAAATACATGTACCTACTGTTAGGGAAATTGCCCAAGGTTACTGTCACGCTCCTGTTCTCCTGTCCCTCTTTCAGCCTTTCTGTCAGGTAAGATTGTGGGACTCAGCGCTCCCTATTTCAGCCCACTACATGCTAATGAAAGCATTCCATGGCCAGCAGCAGAAGTCACTCCTGGGTTGAAGCTTGAGAAAGTAAAGGACAAAGCAGAAGAATCCCTATTAGCTGGACTTTGATTTTAAGCTTTAAAATACAGTTGAGTGGGGAAATGCTGTTGTAAGAGTTTCACTGTTGCTGAGCTTAAATTATGCCCAAATGAATAAGTCAGTTGGCCATTCAGCGGGCCAGACAGGAGGTGCAAGCCCCAGAACTGCTCTGACAGTTTTCCCCCCCTTTGGTGAATCGATGGGATATATCAATGACATGTAGATACATGAGGCTGCAGAAGCGTTGTCATGGTAACCTCCCCAGACTACCAGGTGAATAATCATATGCAAGATGCCTAAAACCTCCCTTTAGCCTCAATAAACTGGGTCTCCATGCACTTCATCGGATCCCCCAAGGGCAGAGGGCAACCCTTTCCCTTCCCGGCTGTGAATACATTTTGCAAAAATAATAGCAAATTCCTTGTATGTGCCTGCGGGTGCTTGAGGGAGTGGGGAGGTAGAGGAGTGATAACCGGTCTGGAGAGACGGAGGAGGGCAGGTGAAGGAAGATCGGATCACTTCCAGGCAGCCAGTCCACATGGCACCTCTCAGTAGGCTGCTTCGATGAAGAGATGGCTTCTGGTGAGAGACCCCAGAATTCGTGTTTGATGTTTACAGAAATCTCCTTAAACAAGTTGGTGTGCACCACGAGTCAGGAGAACTGATGGAGAAAGCTATTAAGGATGCCAAAGTCTGAACAGAGTGAGAAGATGATTCCCGGGTTTCATCTGCAGGACCCAGGCAGTGTACGAGTGACTAGAATGCGGCTGGGCCAGGAAAGTGTTCTAAATGTAAATGCGGTGGTTGCGTCCGGGGCGGCTGTGAGTGTGCACGAATCTTGGCATATTATGTGTGTATGTGATTAGACTATGTCCAATTTTCCTCCCACTGTGCCCTTCCTTAAAGTTTAGGAAAGAATTTCAGATTTTATTACTTTTTATTCGTGTCATTTTTTTTTTAAAGAATCTTTTATGCACACTGAATTTCTTAAAGCACAAAGTTATTCAGTTAGGGGTAGACACAGCTCCAGCAAAAGAGAAATCATCACAAACCTCTATTTATGGTTGGCATTATCCTATAAAAGTACATAAAGATGCGGATGTCTGTAGGAAGTAGTTTCTCTGGCTATGTAGGATTTGGTCTGATTCGTCGTTGTTTTTTAGCATTCTCTGAGTTTGACTATAGAGTAAATGGAATTGTCCAACTTGGGGTCAGGAATGTGGAAATGGTGGAAAATAATCTTCAGAGGAAAAACCACATAGATCACTTCGCACCCTGTAAGAGAGCTGTAACAGAAAGGCCCCAAAGCATTCTGGAAGGCAGTGATAACCTGGGGGAGAAGGTAGTATCCCTTTCCACCCCACTCCCCCGTAAGCCATTTAAAGTAATAACGAGAAGCCCTGGCTGGCTATAAAAGGGATCGCACCTCCCAAAATGCCCTGCTCGTTGGTGGCTCAGGGAACCCTGTGTGGTATAGCCGTTTTATAGCACCCACTTAGGAGGGCTGTACAAGGGGATGCTGACCCTGGAAAGAGTTCAATGGCTCCCCCTAGTCCACATAAGAAAATTTGGGGGTCAGCATTTGGGATTCAACCTGCATTGGATCATATGCTCTTTCTGCCGTCCCCCAGACTGGATGGCAAAAATGGCTGTTGTTGTGTTAAGTTGAGCACTCACTATGTCCTGGGAGCTTTATGCTCACACCCACTCTTCAACCACCATGTGGTTTTCCTTCCCTGGGAGGTGAGCACCACTAGCACCACCTCATGGGTGAGAACACGGAACTTCAAGGAGTTTCCAGAACTTGGTCCCAGTTACGTAGCTGGAGGAGACAGAATCAGTGCCCATGTCTCTGCTTTCAGAATTGGTAGGTGGCTGCTCATTTTGCTGACAAGATGCTGCCACATCTGCTTTGATCCGCTGGTCGAATTTTGCCCAGACCTACACTGGCATCCTGCTCAGAAAATGAGTCCAGGTCTGCACACAGCAGCCACACTTGTTCCTGGGTCCCGTGTGATCTGTGAGAAACCAAAGCCACCTGGCCCACCGGGTCTCTGCTCTTGTTCCCACGTTTTACTCCAGACTCTTTGCGAGCCTAGTCAGGGTGAGGGGAGAAGGGGAGGTTGTGCCGTCCTAGCAGATAAACGGATTTATTGATAGATCCTGATAGGAAATGGCTAGTCCCTCTGAGCAGATAGCCATGCTTCTTGAGTCATTTAATAGGGTTAGACAGAGGCCCACATAATCAGGGCCAGCTTCATGGGGCGTGGCCTATATAGTGCCATTAAGTCCATGCTCAGAAAGGCCCTGCCCTTGGGCTAGCAACTGTACCTTAAAACTCTTCATCATTCAACAAGGGGCCCCATGCTTGCATTTTATGCTGAGCCCTGGCTGGGATTGTAGCCTACAGCTGGGTCTGATGCTCTGTCCAGCTCCTTGAGCTTCTTGCCTGTTGAGACCTTGGGCAAGTTCCTGAACCTTCTAGCAGCTTCATCTGCTTGCTCTGTAAGTGGGGGTGGGATGCAATAGTACCTACCTTGGAGAACTACATGTGAGGATTAATGAGACACGGTGCTTCACCCAGTGCGTAAGACCTAACACCTGTTTAAGAAATGCTGGTACAGTTGATAATGCAATTATTTTTTTTTTTCTGGCAGCATAGCCTTTAGCAAAGGGAAAGCAAAAGAGACATGCAGTTTATGTGAAGGAGAATTCATCTCCCAACAAACCAAGCACCGTTTTCACATCCTTGTATACCCAAATGCCATCAGTGCCAATCTGTCGCAGAGGAAGGTCACCCATATTTATCTGCACGTGTAGCCAGGAGACCATTCTCAGTGGCTCAGCATTAAACTCCAGGGTATTATCTTGGGGATTCATTCCTAGATGAAGGAAGACCAACAGAAAAGAATGGTCTTTGAACTTTGCAGATCATGAGCCGTTCCTTTCATGGAGTCACAGGCATTGATTTATGGGATCTAAGCCCCGGCCCTGGCTGCTTCCCAGGATCAGCTAGATTTCTGTCTGAGTCTGTTTTCTGAATTCCCAAGACCTGCCAAGACATCCTGAGCATGAGGTAGAGGGCTGGGACCCCAAAAGTTCCTGGAGAGCCAAAGCTCCACAGCGCTTTGCTGGCACCCGTTCACAGGTGTTTTGACACTAACAATCCTATGGACACCTTCGAGATGGGCTTTCCTTAGGCCAGACTTTGAAATGATCACTGAAGGCATGTGGTTTACCTGAGAGGGTCAGGGATGCTAGGTAAGGAGTGGTACAGGAGGGGGAAGCCACCCAATCTGAGGAGATGTTAACCCTGCTACCAAACCCTGCACTCGGAGATTAAACCTTTTAGGGAGGCTCCAAAAAATGGCATCAAACTATATCAATCCCGGCCAAGGGGTCAGGTACCTGGAATACCCACCCCCAAGCCTGATGATGGGACATGGGTTCAGAGCTGTCCCTGGGAGAACTTTAATTTGTGGGTAGTTCAACCAGCTGTGTACGCTGAGACCAGCTACTCTCAACACGATCTGGCAGTTGGCCTTCAGGTTGGCCTCAGCTGTGTCCTTCCTCCATGCATTTAGCCACCCTCAATGGCAGCCAGGCAGCTGAGAAAATGGCACCCACCACCCTGGACAGTGGGGCCACTTGGCGAGATGTCAGCAGAGAGAGGTCATGAAAAGAACATCTCACTCTCCAACCCGTGAGCCTGAGGAAGGCCAATGTGACATTTGCCTTCTCTTTAAGTAGGGACAGGACCTAGATGTCCATGTCCTGACTTGGGAGAGATACACCCAGTTCAGGTCACGGGCTGACACTTCTCCTCGAGGCTGTGGACCTGAAGAAGAGACTAGCAGTTACATCCTCAACTTACCACTTCTGAAAGCCCAGCTACGCTTATTCCTCACTTCCTCTCGCTCTCTGCGGGCCCTCTTCCAAGCTCAGGGGGTACGGCAGTGGCCCCGGCAGACTCTGCTAACTCCCTCCTGCTATTTATAGCCCAGTAGGAAGTCAAGCAAAAAATAAGTAAGAATTGTGGCGAGTGCTCCAACATAGCCATAGAGGACACCTACTCGAGAGAGACCCGCTCAGCTTCTCATGAGGGTAGGCTTCTCTGAGGGCCGTGAGGAGAGTGACGGGGTTTTGTCTTTATTCCTCCAGGGTTCACCTGAGTTTCTCTTCAAGAAATAATTCCTTTAATTTTTAAAAATTTTAAGTTTTTTATGCTAGACATGGAAAAGCCATCGATCAGGTGGTCTCTGGGACAAATGGCTACCCGGAAAGCTCAGCTTTGCTCGGCAGTTGCTC